ATATATGTAGATAGACAGTTAATCTTTCTTGGACCTGAAAAAGTATTACTAAATATAGAAATATGATATGTAGTAACAGTTCATTAGGTGGTCTTAACGTACGCGAGGGGGTCATCTACAAGCCATAGCTGGCCCGTGGTTCGTCGGGGTCCAGGGATTTTCTTTTTAAGATACACCTGGTTCCTCAGCTACTGGTACCCGAGACGGCGTACAGTTTTTAGTTGGTTCGAGTCCGACATAACCAGCCCACTTGGCCACGACATATAACCGTGGGTGGTATCCGAGGGGATTTCAGACACAGAAAAAAAAGTGGTCTTAACGTAATCTGCGATCTCTTACAGACAACTCTGGGATGGAGTATACTTTATAGTAGTAATACTTACTTTATGTTTATGCCATTGCCCGGTAAATGAAACAATGCAGTATGGCGGATCAATTTACTCAAACCAATACTTTTTGTTATCTTCGACATAGCTCTCCAGATAATTTAATAATTGCCACATATAATCCAATCCGTGTGGTTACGGATTAAGAATACAAATTGTCACCACCCCAATTCATCCCGTGGGTGTCGTAAGAGCCGACTAAGGGAGCAAACTAAGCAGGACAACAGCACTGCAAAGAAGGAAAACTTGATACAATCCCTATACCAACCCGTCTGGCCAGCGTGGTATAGTAGGCCAAAACCTCCTTTCTAAGGAGAGGCCTATGTCCAGCAGTGGACTAGTATAGGCTGTTGATGTGACATATAATAGTATTATTACATGTGGCATATATATATTATTATAATATATTAGAAATAAACATTTTTTATGTGTTTTACGCACATAGGCACACACTCGTATATAAAGCTCAAATAAACAACGGTATCTGTCTATTGACAGATGCCTTACTATTTTTTAATAGAAGAACATCAAAAATCCTTAATCATTTCGCATTTATTTTAAAAAGTGAACGAGAATATTAATTTTTTAATCGAGAAAATAACGATTTCATACAAACGTGGTGCGTCGCAGGGAGTAGATACTTATATGTAACAGTGTTTTATATAAACGGCAACAGCAAATAGGACCTAAGTATTGTTGTAATTATTATTATTATTATTATAGCCTCTTTATTTCCATAATGAATAAATTACAAAACAAATATAAATAAATCAGGAATTAAAAGTACATACTAAGTGCATGCATGAATTAATAAAATATTACAATTGATACAATGATTATTATATAACAGTAGTATAATATGTATATCATTCGTCATTTTAAATAAGTTTCTAAATAAATAAATTCAGGTTTTTTTTTTTTAGATCGATCTTTTTTTAGATTCAATATGGACCCCTCAACGGGTAAAGGCCTCCTCCATTTTGCTCCACGTCTGTCTGTCTTTTGCTTTTGTGAACCAGTTGTCACCGGCTTTTCTGACTATTTCATCAACCCATTTTTCTCTCGGTCTACCTCTTTTTCTTTTGTTTGTTGGTCCTTGCCAGGTAGTCACTCTCAGTGTCCATTTTTCCTTGTCCATACGTGCAATATGACCCGCCCATTTCCATTTTAGTTTTTGAGAGTGTTCCAAAGCGTCTATTAATTTTGTGGTTTCTCTTATTTCTGTATTTCTTTTTCTGTGTTTTCTTTGTATGTTTAGTATATTTCGTTCCATCGCCCTCTGGCACACTTGTATTTTGTTTTTAGTGTTATTATTGTATATCCACATTTGGCAGCCATACGTAAGACACGGTAGGATACATGAGTCCATAATTATTTTTTTTTAGTTTAATAGGGAGTTTCGATTTTAGGGTTTCTTTATTGCTCCAGAATTTTTTCCAGGTTATGTTAATTCGTCTTTTTATCTCATCTTCGTGTCTGGTCTTAGCGAAGGATACTTGTTGTCCCAGGTAAATATAGTTTTGAACATATTTCAATGAATTGTTATTGACACTTATTGGTATAATGTGGTGGTTTGTCATGACTTTATTCTTGGAAGCATTTAGTTCTAGGCCGATCGCACTGCTTACGTCGTATATTTCGTTTATCATTTTCTGTAATTGGGATGCTGTTTCAGATAAGAGTATGATGTCGTCCGCGAATCGAAGATTATTGAGGAGTTTCCCATTTATATTGATACCTTTTCTTTCCCAGTTCAGGGTTTTCATTATACTTTGGAGTACAGCTATAAAAATTCTAGGTGACAGGGGGTCACCCTGTCTGACGCCTCTACAAATGCTTATTTCGGGACCCCGTCTCTCCAGTTTTACACGACTTTTGCTTTTGTGGTAGATGTCTTTTATAAGATCTATAGTCTCTGCTGGTACTTCGCATTCCTGTAGAGCTTTCCACATGCTCTTGCTGGATATAGAGTCGAAGACTTTGGCGTAGTCAATAAATGTTGTAACAAATATATCTTATTACAACGGAATTAGATCATTATTTTTAATATATAGTTAAAGGCTACTTTTCTATAAACAGTTTTCATGAGGTAGGTTTAAAATTTAGTGGCTTTTGGCCCCGGCTTCGCCTGTGTATGTTATACACATTTCTATAAATTATTTCAATGAAGTAGGTTTATATTTCACTAGCTTTTGCTCTTTTTTTTTTTTTCCGTGCGGAAATCCCCTCGGATACCACCTGTCGGTGGCATGTCGGACTCGAACCGACTAAAACCGCACGCCTTCGCCGGGTACTAATAGCCGGGGAACCAGGTATACCCTAGAAAGGAAGTCCCTGGTGCCCCGACATACCTCGGGTCATCTACAGACGAGTAGACGACCCCCCCCCCGTGTGGGAACCCCATGTTCCCTGTGCTCCCTGAAAGCGAGCGCGCTTCGCAACGCGCTCGCCGCCACCCCGGCCTGCTTCTGCTAGGGTGACAGATGGCCCCACCTGTCACCCCCAGGCCTGCGCTTATGGAGGACGGAGGTCGTTCTGCGACCTCCGTCACCTGAGTCGCCTGCGGTACCTGGCCCGTTCCCGGGCCTGGCGGGCCGGGAGAGTCCTAAACCTCTCCCGGTCCCGCTCCGCCGTCTCCTTCGCGAGCATAACTTGCTCGCAGAAGGAGAAGGCAGAGTTCCACGCACTCTCACTCCGCACGATAGCCGCAATCAAGCTATCGAGCGAGAGAACTCCCACTCCGATGGCCGTCACGAGGTCTCGCCTCTGCTCAACCCATGCCGGGCACTCTGCCAGCGTGTGGAGAGCCGTGTCCACGGTCTGGCCATCGCAGTGGTGGCACTCAGGCGTTGGCTCCTTGAGGATCAGACACAGGTGATCCCTGAAACATCCTTTCCCAGTGATCACCTGCGTCAGTCGGTATGAGAGGGTCCCGTGACGCCTCTCGAGCCAATCCTCCATAACGGGTCTTACCGCCGCGATGACGGCGTGCCCGACTAGCTTTTGCCCTCGGCGTTTCATTGGTAAAATAATTTTCAAAATCGGTTTAGTGATTTAGGCGTAAAAACCTATAAAACGAACTGACTTTCACAATCATAATACTAGCTTCCCCGCGACTCCGCTCGCGTGTATGTCGGTTATTGTGGTAAAAGGTAGCCTATGTTACTCACTGATAATGTAGCTTTCTATTGGTGGAAGGACTATTTAAAGCAGCAGTAGAGAACGAGCACCCGCCAACATGTAAATACGTCGCAAAACGCTTGCCACAAGCCAAACACCTCGTGTACAGGCTTGTGTTTGTAGACACTTCAAGAGGCTTGCCAAGCGTGTTAACGCCCCATAAAGTCATATCCACGCAGTTTCGCGTGAAAAATACCTATCATATCTCATTATAATGAAGACGTTATTCGTGTCATTATCCTTTGTAACGTGATACGAACACCTGTGTGGTCCTCTTGTTACCGTTACTCAACATTTATCCTTCTTAATTATTTCCTTCCTTTTAATGCTGTAGTACATGAAAAATTAAACATCTAAACTATTAAAGTATTACCCTAAATTTTATTCAAATTAGCCCAACGATTTACTATACAATCAAATTATAAGGCTATGTATTTTAATATTGAAATAAAATACTAAATTATTTGGATACAATATGATGATACCATTTCCATTTTTAACATTGAAAGTACAATGAGGAAACCTCTGCATATTTTATCTAGCAGTGCAAAAAGTAAAACAGCGGTTAAGCTTAGAGTTCAAACTAGGATAAGTGGCAAATAAATATGACATTTCACGAGCTTAAAGCAATTAAAATACCTACTGGATACAAAAAGAAAAGTTTAAGTACTTTTTAAAATACAATAAAATTTGTTTTTATTTTTTATTGACTTCATACATAAGATTAAACATCGACGGACTCAATGCCTAAGTAGTCCATTGAAAAGTTAAATTTGGAGTTGCATTTGTCAGAGGACGCAATTTTACTTTTTAGATAACAAGGAGGGGTTAGTGTTTAGTTAGATTCCAAGTTTGTGTGGTTGCAACCCTTGTCTTACTGCCGCTATCTTGGGAAAAGGTGTACAAATGGTTTTTATGGTTTATCTGACAAACTATTGTTCTCACAAAAAAATATCAAGATATTTTTTTATGCAAATTAAATTATCTACAACTTCGGTCAAGTAATTTTTAATCGTAGAATCAAAATAACAATGTTAAAAACTAAAATCATGAGAAAAAAATATATAGTGGTCGTTTACAATTTTTTTCTAAACATTTTACAAAATTATGATATCAGACCATTTTTATAGAGGGGTATTTAAGGAAGAATTTACATTACCAACTTTTTAAACTTTATTCATTAATTAAGGTTTAACAGCGCTGCGAAACGAATACTATTCACCAGTATTCATAACTATAAATATTAATGATTTGCCAAAATTACCCATCTTTTCAATTTTTTACGATAATCTTTTTAATTATTGAAAATACAATATTGTTATTAATTAATTATTGACTCTTTTCCCCACAATCTACAAGGCAGAGTCTGGAGTCGAGTTTTTTACATACTATTCCCAGTAGGCTTAATCCATGGTCATATTCTAAATCACACAATTAATCTGTCCTCGGTCTTTTTGATGAAGCAGGCTGCGGCTCAGGATCTGGTTGACCTTCTATATCAAATACTCGAGAAAGAACCAGAGTACGAAGTGGCGTCATTGTTGGCAGGTCATCTTCAAAATCATTTTTCTGAATTAATATAGAGATTTCCATTATATTGCTGCAAGCTTCCCAGAATTTTCCCAATTTCCGATATCCACACATCGCTCCACATTTTCCTTTGCATCATTTTTGCGCAAAATAACCCTTTGTTTTTAGAATGCATGAGAAGTATTTTTTAGATTTTGTATAAATTAATACATTTATTTTTAATACTTATCTATAATGGCTTAAAAATATGTCTATGTTGCCTAAGAGTAAATCAAAGTTAACTGAACCGTAGTAATTACTGTCATTAAAATAAGCGATTTGTATAAAAACAATCAGGTTATTTTCACAATCATCTCAATTCTTACCTAGAATTATCAACGTGTCTCAGATAAATTCATCAACCTTCAACAGCCTTTAATAGTCCACTGCTGGACTGCTCCTTAGTAAGGAGGTTTTGGCCTACTATATCATGCTAGCCAGACGGGTTTGTGTCAAGTTTCCTTATCTTTGCAGTGCTGTTGTCCTGCAAAGTTTGCTCCCTTAGTTGGCTCTTACGACACCCCTGGTATGAATAGGGGTGGTGACACTCTGTATTCCTAATCCGTCACTACACGGATGAATTTCAAACAAACAAGATAAATTACAAACACAATGAGAAAGTGTTATACTCGTACATACATAGAACATCCAGACCAAAGAGAAACATATATTCACATCCCGCAATCCAACCCGCATCACATCAATCCAACCCGCGGACATCTATCCTGCGGCATTGCACTCAAATGCACTATCAGTACGCCACAGACTTTATCGAATATGTGTGTGGGTATTTTTTTTTACGTCATGACACAAATCATTCTAAAACCCCAGAACTATCGGCCAAAATCGATCCGATTCAACCTTTAGGTCAATAATGTCAAGTAAAAGAAGGTTTAATATTCAGGCTATTATAATCTACGTCAAATGTGTCACTCGGTCATGTCGACCAAAATGGTTATGAAATATTGACCACGTTTATTTTCAATGTTGTAATAGCTCTAAGTATGCTATCTACGCATCTATAATGAGTAAGTATGCCGACTATAATATTACAAATGTGAATGATTTTTTTCTTTATACACTGTAACATTTAAACTACCTAAGCAAGTATAGTAAAAACTAAATAAATCCAAAATAAATTAAAACAGAAATAAATCCTTTGTAAAAAAAAGTTGAACCGAATTCAGACAATACTGACAAAGAGCACTAAAATTAAAAAAATAATGACAAATCTAATTAAAAAAACTATAATAAGTACCTACCCTCAATATAACAGGTAACATTATAAAAGCAATAGTCCCTTCTAGTCTGTTTGAAGTCATGCAATAGAATACTCCAGTAGATGGTACATAGGCTACATTGCTAATTCTTTCTACACCATCTATTTAACGATAAATTTATTTTTCTATTTCTCGCTAATAGTAAAATCATTTCTTAACCGACTTCCAAAACACAAAAGTGGAGGTCATTAATTCGTTTGTATTTTTTGTGTACGTTTGTTACGCGATATCTCCGTTATTTATGGACCGATTTTCAAAATTCTTTTGTTATCAAAAGGGTTTGCTCCCGAAGTGGTCCCTTTACCCCCAAATAAGGATCTGATGATGGAATCCTAGAGGAATCGAGGGAAAGCCTCAGGTTTTAGTTCTTTTCTTTAGCTTTATGTATTTGCGTTTAGTAGTCGTTATTTCATGTTGCTGAACTGATGATGGAAGGATCCTTGACGTTTAGGAGTTTGGAAATAACATCTTCAAAAATCTAATCATGTATTGACCTTGTTTTATTCGTTCAAGATATTTGTTAGGTATTTGTGTGGCGTTACAAAGATATGTGCACAAAAGAGATGTTACGCAATTATACCACGTTATCATCATCAGCCTATCGCAGTCCTCTGCTAGACATAGGCCTCTCCCATTATGTGTGGTGCAAAATATGCCGCCCTCACACATTACTCTACAAGAGATACTCTACCTTTAAGTATTAAAACAATTGTATGCATAATTCAGTCATGCTAACCACAATCATGTTAATTATATAATTTTAGTAATATGATGTTTGTGGTACATGTTTCTAACCGACGCACGTAAAAAGCAGTATCGTGCTGTAATAGGTATATAACTATTTGTATTTATACAACATGGTAAAAAATATTCTAAATGATTAAACTTTTAACTGGGTTAGTAGTGTTAACAGTTACGGGTTACCAAAACTTTCAGCTAAAAAGGTCTTCTTTATAGATTTTGTATTGTCCCTTTGGGAAATTTACCTAAGTCTAAATCGCCTTTGTGAAAAGTGTTAGAAGGTTCTAACAATAAAAGTTACACATGTAACAACATCACTGTTAGTGGATTCTGGATGAATTCAATATGGCGTTTCCAAATGCAAATGGTTAGATTCAGTTCACGAAACTAATAGTAAGTCGCTATCGAATATATTGTTTATACCACCGTAACAAGGCGGTAATCAAAGAAACTATTAAATATAGCTATTTTTATTAAGTCAGATTTTTGCACTCAACGCTCGGCTGCGTGCCAATCCCGACTGTGATTTGTTTGCGGATGAATGGCCAAATATTATGTTAGTATAATATGCCTGTGATTCTGTGAGCAGGACGGATGATTTTGTTTTTATTTGTATATTTTTTTTGTACTGGTTTATATTATATGCCTTTAATAATTGTAATTGGTAAAACCTTTAAATAAATAAATATTTTTTTAAATTACATACACTTAAGTATGACCACTTGTTTTGCGGTGTATGTGGAATTTAAAGACTTCCTAACGCTCGTCATTGTAATAAAAAGTAACTACCACTTTAAAAGGAAACTCTATCGGTGCTGAGGTGTCTCACCGGAGTAGTTCATGATTTGGAAATGATATGAGAATTATGTTCGAAACAGCAAGTCTCTTGGTCTAGGCTCTGGAGTGGAGTACACTTGCAACACTATAATATACCTCCCATAACAGTTTTGGACTGGATCGCTACCAGGGAGATCGCTTTTATGCTTAATTGTCCACACTAGACACATTTATAAATATAAGTCACAAGGAAATGCCATTTACAAAGGCGAGCCTATCCAAAACGAGTTTTCTGTTAGATTTTTTTAGTAAATAGAAAATAGCAGAGAAACGTAAGGCCTTTATGTCATGTCATGTCAGTCACGCGTACTTTGAAATCAGTAGATAAAAGTACAGTAAAATATATTATACATATAATTACATACATACAACATTTATATATAATTACAGACATAAATACGTACATACAAATATACATATGATATACTAATGTACATTTCTATTGGTGGCCAGTTTACTGATATATTGGTTTTATTATTATAGGCCTTCGGGCTCCAAAGACAAGACAATTAACTCGTTATCCTGGAAGATGTCTATGTTAATGAGTCAGTTTTAATAGGTTAGATATTGCAGCAATCTCTAGGCGATATTAAATGCTGTTAAACTAACTTGTAATGATGGAGGTATAATATTTTTCTTTTCTATTGATTTCAAAAAGGATTCTCAATTAAATTGTTTTTTTTTTATTTGTTACTCTCGAACTTCTTCATTTATAAAGGGATTTGGAAAGTTGTTTAAAAAAAAACAATTTCGATAGGTGTCAAGACGTAAAAACAACTTTGTGCGTATTACGAGTTTTTGATACTTAAATATGCATTTGTAAATAAGCAACAAAAGCTTAAATCAGGCTTTTAGTTTCGACTCCGATACATCAAAAATAGCACGCTAATTTGACCAAAAGAGGTAGGTAATGGGAACCCATTCAAATTAAAAGCCGCCAAATTTTATTTGGTACACTTTAATTTTGTACTGTTAACTATAATTTATTAAACACGATTAGGGAAAGAAATAGCCGTTACAAATAATTTAATTTTTATTGATATAATAATAATAATAAATTGCTAAGAGCCTCGATCAACATCTTCAGAGGCTAGCGTTAGGTAGTTGCAGAAAGCAGTTCTTTTCAATACGGCACGTCTTGTGAGGAGGTTTATGTCTATGGAGTCCTAACCACCGATATCTTGGTCCCTATACCCGATACCGATGGGACAATATTTTTTTTTTTTTTTAATATTTTTTTTTGTACATAAATATATTTAAAACTGTAATTTATTATATATATATGTATATTTAATGGAATAAAGAGAATAATATTAATATGTACCTTAAGCAATAGATGGAAATATGCATGGCGTATAACAAGTTTAATTTAGTTTTCTTTTGTTACAGATGGCTGCTGCATTTTGCAGAGAATATCAACTACAGTGAAGCTCATTCCATTGTTAGCATATCTTCTTCCAAACGTTATAAGATAATTTGTTGCATCTATATTAGTTAGTAACAATTTATAAACGCCTGTTCATGTGAATGTATAGAACAAAACATCATAATGTTTCTACGACTGATAAAATCTTCTTTATATTTTCACCGTTAATACCTTGTAGTTGTGCCAACCCGAATTTATGTATTTCATTAAATGGAATACACGAAATATGATTCTGATTTGATTGATTCCCCGAAGCGATTACTTCGAAACTTAATTTACCGCTAAAACGTAAAAAGAGTTAAAAACTATTATTCTATGATCATTGTAATTTGCTTTATATTCGCTTACTATTTTGTAAGAAACAAAAGGACCTGGCACGACCATTTATTGTGTATATACTTAGGTGTGTATATATGTAAATATGCGCTCAAATACATATATGAATAAATTAAAGCTAATGTGTTAAATATTTTAATAATATAATTTATAATCAACGCGTCGTTTTGAGTGAGAAAAGTATATAATACCCAATTAATTACCACCACATTAAAAGGTAACAATTTCAAAATCTTACAAATCTAATAGCGTAATTGAGGATAAAGGACTAAATTAACGTGTATTGAAAAAAAAAGGATTTAATATATTCTCCGCTGTCCTGTTTATGAAGCTATAAAATTTTGACAGGTTGTGAAAATTGATACCGTTAAATTCCAAATTGGAATTGTGAATTTAGCAATTGATCTCATTTTTGCTGATAAAATAAAGAGAGATTGGTGAAATCAAAATATCAA